CAAAAATCTCTTTTTTCCCCACAAGTAGATTTGATATAACTAGGGATGAGTTAGCTTTTACTTTTGAACCTGTATTTGTTGTCTTCTTAACTATTTGATCCCTGGCTATAGGATTGTGTATAGAAAAGTAACCAGCAAATAAATACATGAAAAGTACTAATTGTGTCATGAAGGAAATGGAAATTAGAGCCAAGTGGTTTCTGCCACATACCCATTAGGACTACTTTTTTAAAACTTCTTTGCCAGTTGGAATCGTCAGTTACTGGCTGTGGTATCAAGAGTTCACACTGTTTGGTGTGAATGTGTAGAATCTCCCAGCCACCATGTGGCAGCTCATCAAGCATGCACGCGCTGACCAGCGATCTCAGTGCTAAGTCTCTCCAGGAGAAATGAAGCACATACCTGAACAACTTCTGCAAAGGTGCCAAACTACAAAGTGTTCACAGAGTGGATGCTATAGGTCAATAAGAGGGAAAGTGCTGATGCAGCTGGACGAGCTCACAGTGTGTTGAATTCATAAACACTAACTGATACTAACTGAAAGAAGCCAGACACCAAAGGCAGACTGTGTGTGCAGCTTTGGGTGTGGTGGATGTGGACCGATACTCCTACCAAAGGGGGTAGTAGAGTATTCTCTATCTTAATTGTGCCACAGGCTACAGGCTTGTGTCTGCTTGTTATTGTTTGTAACATGTATCTCAATAGTATGACTTCATCCCTTATGGACTGCAATAAAAAATACTGAACATGGTGAGCTAAACAAGAGGCTAAATGTGGCCAGGTATGGTAGCGCACTCCTGTAATGATAGCACTCACAACAAGGTAGAGGTAGGAGAAGCACAACTTTGGCAGTCAGACTGGGCTACCTAGTGAGACCCTGCCTCGTGTCTGTGGGCTAAGGTTGGAACTCAGGGGTGGAGCCCTAGCCTAGCACGTGGGGAAACCCTGAGTCTGATCCCCAGCGTTGAAGGGAAAGAAAGGTAAATCCACGTTTAGCCTTGACTCATAAGCACATTTATCATAGTGTGCAACTATTTAGGGGTGTGTTTTCCACCCAGAGTCTCATATAAAGTGTGCCAACTAGAATGAGGAACTTGAATCATCACAGTCCTAAAACTGAGTGAACCCCGGAGTATTGATCACAACTACCAAATTTATGTGTTATATAATCAAATGTAAAATTATTTGTGATCCTGCTAGAATAATGGTAGTGACTTGCATAGCCCGGCCCTGCTTCCTCTATCTGGTGCTTGATTATAACTCCTCAAAGGTTGGAATCTGAATTCATTTGTGACCAATTTTCCAAAGCTGGCATGCCAAGATGAACCCATTTGAAATCGGTGGGCTCTCAGACTTGGCCACAGGACCAGTCCAGCTGAGGTGGGCCGGCCCCACATCTGCCTGCATTGTGCCTAATGCTGCTTCCATCTGCTTTCTGTCAGAGCTAGTGCCAACAAATTACTAATCTATTAGAGAAACATGGGAAGAAGATCGCACTTCTCACTCCAGCTTCCTCTCCTGTTTGGCCTGGTGTACATATTTGGTTTCTCCTCGTGTTGGGAGGGTGCTACACTGGCTTCTCCTTTCTTGCTCTCCACGTCACATCTTTGAAGCAGTGGGGAAGGTTGAACACGGCTGCGCTGCTTGGCGCTGAGGGCTGCAGCCGTTACTCATGGGCAGTGCCCCGGCACCCTCTGGTCTCCCTCCCTGCTCCCCATGTGACAGCACCCCACAATGGCCATGCCGCCGGAGTGATGAGAGCCATTTGTTTTCATCCAAACATGTGAATTTGAAGTTTCAAGGAAAAGAAGAGAGCCCTGCATTACTTTTCCCTCTGTAATTGAACACTTTATCCTGGGCATGTGATAACAAGCAACCCCAAAGCGATGGAAGAAAAATAGACTCGGAGCCTAGGGCTGACTGTCCTTGCAAGCGCAAGCCGGCAGACCCACGCTATATTCCCACTTGGTATCTCCATGCCTACCCCTGTAGCCAGCTCGCTTCCTCCCTGCAGGGAGCCCAGCGCTGGCTGCTTATCCCTAAAGGAATGTGAAGCTGCAGGGGGCTGCAGGCCAGAGGTTTGGTCATTGTCATAAAGATCCAGCCATGACCCGAGGTGTGAGAGTTAAGCCACATCATTGCCTCCATCCCAGCCACAAGCAGACCTTGCAAGGCCTGACACCTTCTCCCCCCAAGAAAGCCGTGCTACCATGCCATTTTATTCCTGTCCATATGGTTTCACTGACGGAAAGAAGGCTTTTACCCGAGTCACCTGTGGAACGGCAGGGAAGGATGGAAAGTTAGCCCTCGAGTGCTAGCGTGAATTGGCGAATTAATCATCATTCAAACCATGTATGAGTATATTTATTTCAAGAAAAGCAAGAGCCAATGTGGAGCACTTTATTTCATGGGTGCCAAGAGAGGCGGTCCTCCCGCCCGGCTCCCATCCACCCTACCACCACCCAGGGCTGTAGCAGCCCCTTCCCACCCAGAGAACGCGGCTAGCAGCCAGCAGGGATGGAGAATTTCAGGCCTTCTCTAGGAACTTGGCAACTGAGGAGCACCTATGCTGTTTTGCTCCTTTTACTTGAGTTTGGTTGTTTCGGCACAGTCTGCACAAGCTCTTGAAGCTGCCCGCCAGCCTGATCATGTGACCTGAAGCGCCCAGCACCTCGGCGAGGCTCCTCTCCACCCCTCTCCCCTGCCTGGCGCCTTTCTGTCTCGTTCCGCGCCTCAGGTCTGCCACTACCTTACCAAGAATCCCAAGCCTTCCACGTTACGTTTGGATCCAAGATGCTGCTGACTTGCATCAGGCGCCCTTTCTATTGCTAGTGAAGTCCTTCGTTAGCGTGTCCCAGGATTGTTCTATATCAGGGGCCACAATTCTGGCCTACCTTAGCACATCGCCTGTGCGTCCAAACACACTTCTGTTGAAGCCCTCCCGCCGGTGGCTGTGGCTCCTTTGGGGCTATAGAGGGTAGACTCCCACAAAGCCTGAAGTATTTCCTCTCTGGTCCTTAGCAGGAAAAGTGCCACCCTACTGTGCGCCTGAACTCAGCGTAAACAGTGGGGTGAACATCACAGAAAGCTCACGTGATGCGCCCAGCAGAGCAAGCGCCCCGCGAGTGGGAAGGTGTTGAATGTCTTGCAGATGTATAGTGACAGGACAAACTGTTTTTACAGTCACCATAGCATTGTTGTATAAGCATGTGACTCCTTAAGCGCCGAAGAGACCACCTGTGCAGGAGCGCGGCGGCATGCTCCACTGCGAGCAGCGATGTGAGCCGCGTGCTCCACTGCAAGTGGCACGCTCCACTGTGAGCGGCGCGTGCAGCCTCCAGCACCAGGACCCAGCCTCCAGCCATTTGGGGCATTTTCCTAAACATCCCTGAGCCTCAGGCCCTCATCTCCAACACGAGGGCTTCGTGTAGTCTGGGCTTCATGTCAGGAGGCAGTAAGTTAGAAGGCACTTAGGGCTACGACAGTACCGCTGAGGTTTCTGCTTCTTTTTTATGGTTGTTATTCCATCACTGATTCTACTGGAAACCCTTCTTCCCTTCTTGGTGAACCCCACACTTAGAAGCCTGGTCCTCAAGGACCTGTCGGTCTGACTACTTTGGCTTGACTCCCCTGCCTGCCTCCTGCCCCGAGTGGATGCCTCAAATGCTGTCTTGTCGCCTGGGCCCAGAGCCTCACTTCTCCTCTGCCCTGCTCATCACCCAGCAGCGAATCAAATCCCCGCCACCGATTACATGCAAGCACTTTGCACAGGAGTGTCCTTCAGTCCTGACGAAGTGCGCGCCACAGGACTGTTGTACAGAGAGGAAGGGACGAGAGCAAGTTTCCTAAGGGGACACGGCTGGCGGGACGGCTCTCCTCCCTCCTGAGGCCTGGCCAGCACAGGGCCTGACCCCTTCATCAGAGAAATGTGTACTGCACCCCACTGTAGAGAGCCCCCCCAGCACACACATGCGTGTTTGTGCACACACAGGGCCACTGTGGGCTCTCCAGTACCCGGGAAAAGTGCATTTAGCCGTGTCCCTGTGCCTAGACCCGCTCGGCATAGGATGAGTGGGTGCTGGTCAGATGAGTGAGGGTCTTCCACAAAGTAGGTAGGGCTGACTAAGAAGCACTAATCTTACGTGTATTTTACTTCATCTTTTATTGGTTAAATGCTTGGGTTCAAATCAGTTTGCTTGAGCATCACTTCTAGCCTGTTGGCTCTCGCAGTTTACCTCCCTTGTCGATGGTGGTGCCTATGGCTCATTTAGCTGCTGGAAGAAATGAACAAATTCATCTGGGCACAGCTGGAGGCCTTGCCAATGCCCCTCAGTCCTGAGTGGGCAGCCCCGGCTAGGGAGGGGGAGGTGCAGCAGTGGCTCCTGGCTCCTCCTCCCAGCCTCCAACTCTGCCTGCCTCCCCTTTGCACAGTGTTACACTAGCACTGGGAATCATGAAGCATGACACCAAACAGAAACCCGCCACCCTGGTACTCAAGCAAGAGGGTACAAGGGTTGGACCCACATTATAGAACAAACCAGGTTAGGCCAACTGTAGTCCACATGACCCCTTCACGTAGAGCATAGGATTATGTTGACCCTACAATATCTGTCCTCAGTTCAAGTGGCATGGTAGGGCAGTCTTGATAGCTCTCACTCAAAGTCAGAGTTGAAAAAATGATTTTAGCTAACCTGTAAGAATGTTAAGTGTTGGTCACATTGAAGTGGACCCAGTCTTAAAGTGGCCTGAATTTTGCCTCAGTGTTGCAGGGCTCCAGCGGGGCCTCTGTCATTAAGCTTACTCGGTAGGCATCTTGGGGACATGCAGAGGTAGCATGTTGGTGGCCTGGCAGCCCCATGGGCACCGACAGGAAGGGCGAATAGGGATGATGATCGGTACCGTGGCCAGCATGTTACTACACAGAACGTTTTCCCAGGAAATGTTTTTGCAAGTGTAAAGATTGAAAAAAAGGCTTTAATTTGTGTTTGCTTTTTGTTTAGGTAACTACTCCAGACCCCCAACGTATACTGGGGTGCCCAGTGCAAGCTACAGCGGCCCAGGGCCCGGTATGGGTATCAGTGCCAACAACCAGATGCATGGACAAGGGCCAAACCAGCCATGTGGTGCTATGCCCCTGGGACGCATGCCGTCAGCTGCGATGCAGAGCAGACCATTTCCTGGAAACATGAGCAGCGTGACCCCCAGTTCTCCGGGCATGTCTCAGCAGGGAGGGCCAGGAATGGGGCCGCCGATGCCCACGGTGAACCGTAAGGCCCAGGAGGCGGCTGCAGCCGTGATGCAGGCTGCAGCAAACTCAGCACAAAGCAGGTATGCACGAGGCCAGTGCGCCGAGGTGTTGGGTGTTGGTGTGGGACCACGTAGCAAGCGCAGGCTCATCCAGCTTCCCCGGAGAACCCGAGAGCAGGATGGGCTTCCGCTTGGCTGGCCTTTTCCCATAGAGTGTATATGCTAGAACCGAAGGTCGGGAAAGTGACAGGTCCTGTTGTAGGACCCACTGAGGGCAGGCACATCAGCCCTCAGAGGAAGCGTGACCCATCTGTGCGCAGCCCCGTCCCTAGCAAGCCAGACCCTCTCCCAAGAAAGTGTCTGCTGTTTCACTTAAAACCTAAAACACTAAAAAGATTCCCAGTTTTTAATCCCACCGTAAGAGTCTTGATTAACTAGAAATGTGATGTGTGTGTGTGTGTGTGTGTATCGTACATTGTTCTAAATGTGTATGTGTGTGGCATTTTATGTTTTTCTGTTTTCTGGCCATATCTTTGTCTAAACCAAAATGTGATTGTTGAAGTAAAAATAGTAGCAAGTGTACATTTAAAAGAAGAAGATGTAAATATTTCTTTAAGCACATCAGAAGATAGGTAGTTCCGTGGTATCTTCAAAAACAAGGTTGTGACTTTTGTCTGAGAGAAATTAAGACCAGTGTGTGCCTAGGTTGGGGAGGGGTGGGAGGAAGGTTTAATGTGTCCCTTTGTCCATTCTCCATTGAAGCTACCATTTGGGGAAGGTGGAGACCCCTCAGACTTGTTGTTTGTAGCAAATAATGATAAATTTCCCTTGATAACATGGAAAGTCACCACTGCTTCTCTCTGTCCTGCCTGCATTGCGATCTCTTGAAATCTCCTTCCTGAAGAGAGCATGGTCTCCAGGCCGCAGGGGTGGGTGGCCGTGGGGGGTGGGGGGAGGGGAATAAACTTCTCTGTGACATTGGACCTGCTGGTCCAGTTGAAGTTTTCGTGTAGGTTTGAATGAATTGTTCACTGTTGAAACTCATAACACCGGAGTTCTTTCCCTCTGTACAGTAGAAAGTTGAGGCCTCTGCTGGCGAGCTGAGAGAAAGCTCACCTCAGAGATTTCATTAGGGTGGAATTCTGTGTGATAAAAGTCTCCTGAATCAATTTGTCATCTTACAGAAGTTGGTGTATAACACACATCCATGATTTTACTTGATTTCAAATCAGCCGCCCACTTCAAGCCTTACCTTCAGATACTACTTAGCTTGGCTCTTCATGAGTTTAAGTGGGGTAGTTTATTTTATTTTTTTATTTTTCCCAGGTCAAAGCTATCCTTCAAATTTATAAACTAATACCACATCTGAGGACTGCACCTCTCTCATCTGCTGCATCTCCCGCCTTTGTTTTAATGGTGTTTGAGCCTTCCCTTCCCTCAGGAGCTGCCTGGTCTAGATTATTCTGCATCTTTTCCCCCATGGTGACCCCCCCCACACACACACACCTACATGTGGCAGTGTGTGTGGACAGGGGTTCAACCTTGCACTTCAGAACCAACTCAGAGAGGCTAGCACCCCAACTCCGGCAGCTCCCAGGCTTCTGTGATGCACCAGGCTGAGGAGGCCGGTAGGTTGCAAACACCCCGGGGCTCACTGCGGGGCCTGGGTGTTTCTTTTTAAACTGTAAGCCAGCATGACCTCTGGCTATGGAAGGAACCCCAAATTAAGACCATGAAAGACCTCAGAGGAAACCATCCCAGGGGTCGTCCTGTCCTTCCCAATGTGTCTTGTGTTTCTTCCACACCCTCCTGTGGCACTTTGGTAGGAACCTGCGTCCTGTCCTGTGGGATTTATCTGCATGACTTTTGACGTGACTGCTTTCCTTCATGCCTCAGAAGGAAGAGATCATTTTTATGACCCTTAAAAAAAAAAAACAATTCAGCTACCATGACGGCCACCCTTGGGGCGTAGGAGAGATTTCATAATACCACTGAGCTTGTGCCAAAGTAGGCTACCATTTCCTCCAAGAGGATTCAAATGGTGAAGCCACAGGGGAACGAAAAAGATCCAAGACAGACATTCTACCTCAACAGGTGTAATCATATTATCGTCAATACAGGAATTACATACAGCAACAAAAGGTACCTCTGTCCTGCCACAAAAGCAATATAACATCAGGCACGGTAGCCATGTTTGGATTAATGAATTTGGTGTTGTTATTGAATGTTACTGTGCCTAGCAGGTGGTTCCGGGTCAGACACACCTCTGGGTAATGCAGAACAGGCGCTGTCAGTTCACTTCGTTCAACAGCAAAGTTTCCAGAACTGTGTTTTCACTCCGTTATGCATGCGTAGCACAGACAGCTTTTAATAGTTTGGATTCATTATACATTTATTTAGTCAGCAGGAACAAATGATCATTTTGTAATTGAGAAATTCTGTAAACATGGTCGTAAAAAGGGGCCAACAAATACCAGATTCCATAAACATAACCCTCAACATGCACGACAGCCGAGAGAGAGGGGGCATTCCTGGGGCACTGGCCTTTCCTCTCCTGCACCTCCCCTGCCGCCTCAAGGTCACTCATGAGTCATAGGAAGACAGTGAGCGACAGGAAGCATTTATCATCGGCCGCTGAGCCACGGGTCCTGTCCTTTACCAGCTCAGGAGTGCTGTTTAGACCCACCAAGCGAGTTTGGCGGTGCCTTGCCAAGCCACATTAAGCAGCTGTGTAAAATGAATTTAAATGGCATGCATCAGAGGAAACTCTCTTCCACTGGGGCAGAAAATCAATGTTAGCTAACCAGCACGAGAGGATCAAATCTGTGTTTCAGCCAGCAGCATACAGATAGCTTCCTCAGGCCCTGACACCTCCTTGTTAATTAAAAATAAGAAAGAAGATATGTTGGAGATATTCTGTGTAGCTCTTACCTAGGGCCCTCTGCAAAGACCTGTCTTGGCAGCCCTGCCATGCCTGTTGGCTGTGGATTTTGCTTTCCATATTTACACTATTCTTTCTAAAAAAGAAAGCAAAGCAAGATTTCTGTGTTAAATCTTCCTTCTGTTCCCCTTTGCAATCAATGGGCCTGTTGTGCCTTTGTAGAAGTACAGACTCGAATATAAGAACGCATGTGCCCGTGTGCGACACGCTTCCATGTTTTGACTGAGCAATCTGATTTTCAGCCTGCTTGTGCTTTCCTTGTTTAGTAGCTCCCTGCAGCAAACTTGTGCTGTTGGTTTTGTTTTCGCTTTCTTCCCCTGCTGATGGCTCTGTTGGTGAAATTTAGGCTGGTATTTTAGAAACCAGTTTGGGAAATGGATTTACCTTTCCGGAAAAAGGGATGACTTGACCTTTCAGGAGACTCTGTAGTCACCATTTGTCATGATGGCTCTTCCCCAAGGTAGAGCCCAGAGAGCCTGTGACAGACTCTCAGAAGGACAATTGAAGATGAAGTCAGCGAGGGAGCATGGCAGAAGCAAAAGCTCGGTGGGAGGAGGGAGAGCGTGCAGTTCGATGCAGGCTTCCTCGGCTGGCTGAACGTGAGATAATCTAGCAGCCAGGAAGTGGGCTAGTTATCATTTCATTAGTTCCTGTTTCAAGAGTGCCATTGTGTATGGGGTAAAATCTGCCCAGTGCGTCGAGTGAAGTTAGAGAACATACAGGTGATTTTTCTTTTTCACCTGCTGCATAAAGGAATTTTTTGCTTCTGTTGTAAGAGGATTTACAATAGAAGTTCCTAGTTTTAGGTAAGTTAGCTTGTGTCATAGTACCCAGTCATTTAAAGTGGATGATGTTTAAGTAGTATTTGTATAGAAAATGCATTGCTGTGTTTAGTTGCAAAGCATCAGTAGTTAATATAATACTATTTTGAAGATGTGAAAAAATAGAATTAGAAATATTACTTGACCTTACTGGAAGCCCGGTTGTTGTGACTGGCATAGCATCCGGTTGGGGGACTTGGACCCATTGTCTGGACATAGGAAAGCCACAGGCTGCTGGCAGTTTGGGGGAAATCGTGGCCTCCTGCCTCTGGAAGATGTGTGGATTTGGAACCCGTGAAGCAACCTCTAGATATTGAGATTATTCTAATGACTAATGATTATTCAATGCGTTGCTTGTAACCTGGATGCTCAGGGCACCTGCACACATAAAATAACTTTCCCTTGGTCCTACAGTAAACTCTGCATCTGTTCTTCAGTTCTAGGTAGGACCTGCTAGTGTCCAACAGTCACCATATCCACTAAATAAAGTCTGTGGATGCGAATAGTTCAGATTTTCTCTTGGAAATGAGTTCCAAAAAGGAAGCATGACTTCACTGAATTTACAGGTCTAGTGAGCCCTGGGTCCTTAAGCAGAGGCAAATGGTGGACAGATTGTTGTTCCTTGAAGATTTTAATTCCTTAATTCCCTAGCATCTTGCATATTGTGTCACAATACTGTGTCTGGTAAGGATCTTTAAGATCAATGTTTGATCTCAATAATGCGTTCCTTTACAGCTAGAGGGTTCGGAAGCACTGTCTGGCCTCCACAGTGGAGAATATAAGCCTTCTGAGATTACCTTCAAAGGAGGCAAGGCAAAGCAGAGGCAGGTCCCTGTCCTCCTTGTCTTGTGTGGTACTGTCCCTAAGCTAGATTGTCTTTAAAGAAGAAAAAGAGAGAAACGACACTAGTGCCCGCCTTGCTTAAAGGCTCTCTTGCTAGAAGAAACCAAGCCCCAGCACGAGTCTCAGAAGGGCCGGTTGGCTGAGCACTGGGCCTGGCAGCTTCTTCCCCTGCAAAGGACCTGGGCTCTTCACTCAGCCCAGGAAGGCCAAGAAGGGTTTTTTTTTTTTCCTTTCCCTTTTATTTCCTGTCTTTCTTTCTTTCTTTCTTTTCCTTCTTTCCTACCTTTCTACACAGGGAGTTTTCCTTCCGATGCCAGACACTTCAGGATAAATAGTAGTTATTTACCGGTACACAGATGGATTTGGTCATCTTCACCCTTTGGTGCTGTCCATATCAGTACTGCGCCTGCTTCCACACCATGGAGACACCAGAACTCTGAGGGTGCGGCTAGACCGGAGCCATCCTCACGCCGCCC